TCATTATGCATTGTGTGCTGCAGGTTTTTTTTTATACTGCTCACACTGACCACACAGATCCATTCTTTCATATGCAAGCCTACCAGCTTTCTCTCGCTCGATTTGAAGGCGCTAGAATTTAGGCATTCTAGTACGTCAATAACCCCGGTGCATAAGCCGTCCTAGTACGTCGAAAACCCTGAAAGGGTTAAAAGATAAAAAATCAAACACAAAGTGGGAGTTGTCACAGTTGCTCTTTGCTGATGACATGGTGCTTTTGGTAGATTCTGAAGAGAAGTTGCAGAGGCTGGTGGATGAATTTGGTAGGGTATGTCTCATAAACACGCTAGATAACAGGGATATCTTGCTACTCCTACTTACACTTTGGTCACACTTCACAGACACACACATGCATATATATATACATACATCTAGGTTTTTCTCCTTTTTCTAAATAGCTCTTGTTCTTCTTTATTTCTTCTATTGTCCATGGGGAAGTGGAAAAGAATCTTTCCTCCGTAAGCCATGTGTGTCGTATGAGGCGACTAAAATGCCGGGAGCAATGGGCTAGTAACCCCTTCTCCTGTAGACATTTACTAAAAAAGAGAAGAAAAAACTTTATAAAACTGGGATGCTTAAATGTGCGTGGATGTAGTGCGGATGACAAGAAACAGATGATTGCTGATGTTATGAATGAAAAGAAGTTGGATGTCCTGGCCCTAAGCGAAACAAAGCTGAAGGGGGTAGGAGAGTTTCAGTGAGGGGAAATAAATGGGATTAAATCTGGAGTATCTGAGAGAGTTAGAGCAAAGGAAGGGGTAGCAGTAATGTTAAATGATCAGTTATGGAAGGAGAAAAGAGAATATGAATGTGTAAATTCAAGAATTATGTGGATTAAAGTAAAGGTTGGATGCGAGAAGTGGTCATAATAAGCGTGTATGCACCTGGAGAAGAGAGGAATGCAGAGGAGAGAGAGAGATTTTGGGAGATGTTAAGTGAATGTATAGGAGCCTTTGAACCAAGTGAGAGAGTAATTGTGGTAGGAGACCTGAATGCTAAAGTAGGAGAAACTTTTAGAGAGGTGTGGTAGGTAAGTTTGGGGTGCCAGGTGTAAATGATAATGGGAGCCCTTTGATTGAACTTTGTATAGAAAGGGGTTTAGTTATAGGTAATACATATTTTAAGAAAAAGAGGATAAATAAGTATACAAGATATGATGTAGGGCGAAATGACAGTAGTTTGTTGGATTATGTATTGGTAGATAAAAGACTGTTGAGTAGACTTCAGGATGTACATGTTTATAGAGGGGCCACAGATATATCAGATCACTTTCTAGTTGTAGCTACACTGAGAGTAAAAGGTAGATGGGATACAAGGAGAATAGAAGCATCAGGGAAGAGAGGTGAAGGTTTATAAACTAAAAGAGGAGGCAGTTAGGGTAAGATATAAACAGCTATTGGAGGATAGATGGGCTAATGAGAGCATAGGCAATGGGGTCGAAGAGGTATGGGGTAGGTTTAAAAATGTAGTGTTAGAGTGTTCAGCAGAAGTTTGTGGTTACAGGAAAGTGGGTGCAGGAGGGAAGAGGAGCAATTGGTGGAATGATGATGTAAAGAGAGTAGTAAGGGAGAAAAAGTTAGCATATGAGAAGTTTTTACAAAGTAGAAGTGATGCAAGGAGGGAAGAGTATATGGAGAAAAAGAGAGGTTAAGAGAGTGGTGAAGCAATGTAAAAAGAGAGCAAATGAGAGAGTGGGTGAGATGTTATCAACAAATTTTGTTGAAAATAAGAAAAAGTTTTGGAGTGAGATTAACAAGTTAAGAAAGCCTAGAGAACAAATGGATTTGTCAGTTAAAAATAGGAGAGGAGAGTTATTAAATGGAGAGTTAGAGGTATTGGGAAGATGGAGGGAATATTTTGAGGAATTGTTAAATGTTGATGAAGATAGGGAAGCTGTGATTTCGTGTATAGGGCAAGGAGGAATAACATCTTGTAGGAGTGAGGAAGAGCCAGTTGTGAGTGTGGGGGAAGTTCGTGAGGCAGTAGGTAAAATGAAAGGGGGTAAGGCAGCTGGGATTGATGGGATAAAGATAGAAATGTTAAAAGCAGGTGGGGATATAGTTTTGGAGTGGTTGGTGCAATTATTTAATAAATGTATGGAAGAGGGTAAGGTACCTAGGGATTGGCAGAGAGCATGTATAGTGCCTTTGTATAAAGACAAAGGGGATAAAAGAGAGTGCAAAAATTATAGGGGGATAAGTCTGTTGAGACTACCTGGTAAAGTGTATGGTAGAGTTATAATTGAAAGAATTAAGAGTAAGACGGAAAATAGGATAGCAGATGAACAAGGAGGCTTTAGGAAAGGTAGGGGGTGTGTGGACCAGGTGTTTACAGTGAAACATATAAGTGAACAGTATTTAGATAAGGCTAAAGAGGTCTTTGTGGCATTTATGGATTTGGAAAAGGCATATGACAGGGTGGATAGGGGGGCAATGTGGCAGATGTTGCAAGTGTATGGTGTAGGAGGTAGGTTACTGAAAGCAGTGAAGAGTTTTTACGAGGATAGTGAGGCTCAAGTTAGAGTATGTAGGAAAGAGGGAAATTTTTTCCCAGTAAAAGTAGGCCTTAGACAAGGATGTGTGATGTCACCGTGGTTGTTTAATATATTTATAGATGGGGTTGTAAGAGAAGTAAATGCGAGGGTCTTGGCAAGAGGCGTGGAGTTAAAAGATAAAGAATCACACACAAAGTGGGAGTTGTCACAGCTGCTCTTTGCTGATGACACTGTGCTCTTGGGAGATTCTGAAGAGAAGTTGCAGAGATTGGTGGATGAATTTGGTAGGGTGTGCAAAAGAAGAAAATTAAAGGTGAATACAGGAAAGAGTAAGGTTATGAGGATAACAAAAAGATTAGGTGATGAAAGATTGAATATCAGATTGGAGGGAGAGAGTATGGAGGAGGTGAATGTATTCAGATATTTGGGAGTGGACGTGTCAGCGGATGGGTCTATGAAAGATGAGGTGAATCATAGAATTGATGAGGGAAAAAGAGTGAGTGGTGCACTTAGGAGTCTGTGGAGACAAAGAACTTTGTCCTTGGAGGCAAAGAGGGGAATGTATGAGAGTATAGTTTTACCAACGCTCTTATATGGGTGTGAAGCATGGGTGATGAATGTTGCAGCGAGGAGAAGGCTGGAGGCAGTGGAGATGTCATGTCTGAGGGCAATGTGTGGTGTGAATATAATGCAGAGAATTCGTAGTTTGGAAGTTAGGAGGAGGTGCGTGATTACCAAAACTGTTGTTCACAGGGCTGAGGAAGGGTTGTTGAGGTGGTTCGGAGATGTAGAGAGAATGGAGCGAAACAGAATGACTTCAAGAGTGTATCAGTCTGTAGTGGAAGGAAGGCGGGGTAGGGGTCGGCCTAGGAAAGGTTGGAGGGAGGGGGTAAAGGAGGTTTTGTGTGCGAGGGGCTTGGACTTCCAGCAGGCATGCATGAGCGTGTTTGATAGGAGTGAATGGAGACAAATGGTTTTTAATACTTGACGTGCTGTTGGAGTGTGAGCAAAGTAACATTTATGAAGGGATTCAGGGAAACCGGCAGGCCAGACTTGAGTCCTGGAGATGGGAAGTACAGTGCCTGCACTCTGAAGGAGGGGTGTTAAAGTTGCAGTTTTATAACTGTAGTGTAAGCGCACCTCTGGCAAGACAGTGATGGAGTGAATGATGATGAGTTTTTCTTTTTTGGGCCACCCTGCCTTGGTGGGAATTGGCCGATGTGTTAATAAAAATAATAAAAAAACATTGGAGGAGTTAAGTTTCATGTTGCGTTTTTTCTATCGCTTAATCGCTTAACTCACTTGCTACACTGTTAATGCTACACTATCACTGGCTGGCACTATAGCCTTTATCGACTCCTGCTGCTTTAGTATTGTACATATCGTAGAATCACTGAAGAAGGCACATTCTCCCCTCTCTCTCTTCTTCTTCCACTTGTACTTTGCTATAATTTCTTTCTTGAATTCGATCGTGTTTCTCACCTTCTTTACCAAAGGGCTGGCACTAGGAGCTTTCTTTGGGCCCATGGTGGCTTAATTTCTAGTTGCAAGCACAAAAAACATTGGATTATTATGTCTATGGGAGGCTGTGTGTGTACGGGGCCACTGGGACATGTTCTGTACGACCACTGAAATTCAAGGGAAATCACAAAAACCAAGACCATATTTTGACGAAAAATGTTGCCGATAATCATAATTCACGAAAACTGACTCACAAAAACCAAGGGTCCACTGTATAGGCTTTTCCATTTATTATATAACATAGTAAAACTATGTAATGCCATGGAAAATAAACATTACAACAATATTTTTAAGGATAAAATTAAGCACATTAATTTTTCTACTTAAATATACATGTATACCTAAATGTTAATACAGCCTCTTCTCACTTATCGAAGGGGTTCCATTCCTAAGAGAAGGTTAATAAGCGAATTGGTAAAGTAAGGAGCATACTATACTGGTAGTGGGTTTGTGTCAACCATCTTCAGATATTTTTTTAACCCTTAAACTGTCCAAGCAGATCTACATTCACATGCGTAGTGCTCCAAACGTAGATCTACGTTTCTTTTACACATTTTCAAATATAACAAAAAAAAAAAAAAAACGTACATCAAAGTTTTTTTTACACATTTTCAAATGTAAAAAAAAAAAATCTACTTTTTTACATATACTTTCAAATGTTGAAAAAACATAGATCTACGTTTGGACAGTTTAAAGGTTAATGTCACCTTTGCACCATTCATAACATTTCTAGTATATTTTTAAATGTTTATACAGTAGTACTGTATACTGTAAAAAGCAGAATAGAAGAAATCAGCTCTAATATACATTACTTAGGTTTGCATACTGGTTGGAGAGCTGGTCATAAATCCGAGCGGTCGGTAAATGAGTACGTCGCTAAGTGATGAGAGGATGTAATGTAATTTGGAAATCTCAAGACAGCAAATCCTGAAGCTGTGCCTCTCACCTGTCTGGCTGTCATAATTGCCATCCACCTGGACATAAACATTGATGTTGCGGTAGTTACACATATCCTGGTTGCAGCAGGTGAGGTCAGGGTCTGGGTGGAGCTGAATAACAGGCACAGGAGTCTCACGGGTCTCCATACTGTGCACTTCACCTTTCCTCAAACACTCGGCATGTCTACCCCTAAGACAATAAAAATGAGAATGTCATTAATTCTCTATGACTACCCTTACCCATCACATAGTAATAATCAGATGCACATGTACACATGCAAAAAACATCAACACGTTTCTTGAAGATTGAGAAATTTATGCAACACATGGGAATCTTTATTGAAGAAACGTTTTGCCATACAGTGGCTTCATCAGTCCAATACAAATCAGGTAGGTGTAAGTAGAAGAGGAGTTTGAGGTAATCAGTTCCTCAGCCTGGAGTTGATGTGTTCAGTCCATCAATCTTGTAGAAAGTACAGCATTGGGCCATAGAAGTGGCTTATATACTGTAGTCACGTGAGGCAAAGCAGGAGGAGGTGGGGTCAAAGTGGTACCATCCACTAGTCGAAGTAGGTCTTCATCCAAAGGTTGGACAAGTTTTGAAGAATTCTTTGTATCAAGATCACATGATGTTGCAGTGTCTGACAGATGTCGGTTTTAAACCATTTTATCACATCTGTCAAACAACATTTCTTGCTAGGTGACCAACAGGGTATGTCTAACACTTAGTGTCAGACTCATAAGAATTCTGTATACATATTTATAATTATTTTAATTGCACAATATTCTGAAAATAAATGACTAATGTCATTTAAATAAATCAATGGTTAGCACCTACCTAATTTTTATCTCAATGGCTGTCTCCTTCCAAGGCAAAGCAATCCAAAGAAAATACATTCATCATCATTCATTCAAATGCTGTCTTGCCAGAAATGTGCTGACAACACAAATCAGATTACCCCCCAACTGCCATGTCCCCACCCAACCTTCAGAGTGCAGGTACTGCTCTGCCTACCTCCAGAACTCAAGTCTGGCTAACTAGTTTCTCTGAATCCCTTAACAAAAGCTTTCTCTCTCTCCAACAGCAAACAGCAAGTTCACTAAAAACCACTTGTTTCCATTCACACTTATCTAACATGCTCCGACAGCCCTGCTAGATGCTCAAGCCCCAAAAAATCTGAAGCCTCTGTTATGTCCTCCCTTCAACCATTTCTGGGATGACCCCTACACCTAACTCCTCCTTCCAGACATCTTTAAACTTAAAAAAAAAATTCTCATGAGCAATACAAATTAGTTGATCTTATTATATTACAGATATAATCTGATAAAATATAAGGCTCAGAAGAAAGCCACTAATTATGCAAATGCATTTTGGGCAAACTAATTATGAAGCTTACATGAAGTCATTTGTTTACTCTTGAATGTTTGCAAAAATTTAACATTTCCGCTACTTTGAGCTTAGTTTCAAGCCATTTCCAGTACTAAAACCAATCAAACTCATCTCTATTTCTGTAATATATCTTCCATTCTATTAAATGAGACCCAGAAATCGCAAATACAACTATAAAAAGCATACAAAAAACACTGTAAAGTCGCTGTTTTAATCGAAAATTACGGTCTGTTTTTTTTCCTCATTATGCACTGTGGCTGCTGGATTTGTTTTATGTGGTGCACACATACCACATATATGTATTCTTTCATATCTAGGCCCAAATTTACCACCACAGCTTATCAGAGTGAGCTGAGCTCATGGCGTAGATCTACGGTTTGGACCCTCAACAGAGCCGTAGATCTACGGCACGGACCCTGAAAGGGTTAAAGACTTCAGGTACCAAGTCTTTATCAGGGGTTACTTCTCTACTTTGTTTTTTACTGGCACTAGAACCAGCTTGAGAGTCACTGGACTCGTCGCACAAAAAAAAATTCCAGAGAGCGGTTTCTGGCGTCTCTAAGATTTGCCTAAAATGGGACAAGGCATTGTCACTGAACATGTTGCAAACTCAGCCTGCAACAGATTTGTTAGGGTGATACATATTTCTCCACAAAACTTTGCAATTCACTCCACTTTGCACACATGTCCTTAATCACTGAAGAAGGCACCTTCTTCCCTTTCTCTTCCTCCTTTGAAGCAATTTCCTCATGTGATCTGTTGCTGTTCCAGATGAAGGTCTTGCGGCTTTTCAGTGGTTAGCTCTTCACTGCAGTCGTCCACCAACTCTTCCACATCCTGGCCACTCACATCCAACCCCATGGACTTCCCCAAAGCCACAATAGATTCCACAACAGGAGTAGGCTTGTCAGGTGCATGTGGGGAAGTGCCCTGGCTGGTGTGTGGGGAAGTACCCTGGCTGGGGCATGTGGGGAAGTACCCTGGTGGGATGTGGAAGTCCCTGGCTGGGGCATGTGGGGAAGTACCCTGGCTGGGGCATCTGGGGAAGTACCCTGGCTGGGGCATGTGGGGAAGTACCCTGGCTGGGGCATGTGGGGAAGTACCCACACTAGTTTTTATAAAATAATTCAAAACTATAATAATTCACTACTAAACTTCTCTACTAGACCTATTAAAGCCATATAGCATTACATCTATTAATACTCAAGTCTCTGTACTCACTGTAACTCACCTAATGACCATTTAATCTGTTATAGCCTAATTAATCTTAAGTTAATTTTAAGTTTGCCTGAAATGCTTTACATACAAGGGGCTTCTGGCATGTACACTCAACTATTATATTCCTTCATACAACTATGTATCATGTCAAAATAAAATTATTATTATCCATCCTGTCATTTTTCAAGCAGATGCAATTGATACAATGTTATGGTCTTTGAAGGTGAGGTCTTCTGACATGATCAATCCCAGATCTTTTACATTAGTTTTTCACTCTTACTGTGTGGTTGGAATTTGTTTTATACTCCAATGTAGTTTTAATTTCCTCACGTTTTCCATATTGGAATAATTGAAAGTCTCATCGCTGAGCTTCATATTGTTTTCTGCTGCCCATATAAAGATTTGGGTGATGTCTGCCTGAAGTCTTGCTGTGTCTTCAATGGAGGAAACTGTCATGCAAATTCGGGTGTCATCTGCAAAGGAAGACGCAGCACTGTGGCTTATATCCCTGTCTGTCAGATATGAGGATGAGGAACAAGATGGGAGCGAGCACTGTGCCTTGTGGAACAGAGCTTTTCACTGTAGCCACCTCAGATTTTACTCTGGTGACTACTACTGTGTTCTTTGAATACATATGTAAAAACTATACATGCATTTGCTCATATCATGAACATAGGTAAAACATTATAATCATTATAATGGAAATAAGTCACTCTGGCTTTTTTGGGTTACCCTACGTTCTATACACATGCTGCTATGTATGATAATCTATGTAACTGTATTTGTGTTAACCTGAATAAACTTACTTACTCTCAATATCTGTAAGCCTCTCAAATGTTAATCAATCCATTGTGTCTGCCTTAGGTTAATAATCAAAATTGTAATTCCTCTCTATCAAACTTATTAAACCCTTATAGCATGAAATATAATATTCAATTCTCTTGTATTCATTGTCAACTCACCTAATGATCATACGCACAAAATTACTGCACTATTATTGCCTTATTAATATTAAGTTAGTCTTAAGTATGCCTGAAATACTCTGCATATAAAGGGGCTTTTGGCATGTACACCCAACTGTTATACTCTTTTCTACAAACAGGTATTGTGCTGAAATAAATTTATTTTTATTTTATTATCACACTGGCCAATTCCCACCAAGGCAGGGTGGCCCGAAAAAGAAAAACTTTCACCATCAGTCACTCCATCACTGTCTTGCCAGAAGGGTGCTTTACACTACAGTTTTTAAACTGCAACATTAACACCCCTCCTTCAGAGTGCAGGCACTGTACTTCCCATCTCCAGGACTCAAGTCCGGCCTGCCGGTTTCCCTGAATCCCTTCATAAATGTTACTTTGCTCACACTCCAACAGCACGTCAAGTATTAAAAACCATTTGTCTCCATTCACTCCTATCAAACACGCTCATGCATACCTGCTGGAAGTCCAAGCCCCTCGCACACAAAACCTCCTTTACCCCCTCTCTCCAACCTTTCCTAGGCCGACCCCTACCCCGCCTTCCTTCCACTACAGACTGATACACTCTTGAAGTCATTCTGTTTCGCTCCATTCTCTCTACATGTCCGAACCACCTCAACAACCCTTCCTCAGCCCTCTGGACAACAGTTTTGGTAATCCCGCACCTCCTCCTAACTTCCAAACTACGAATTCTCTGCATTATATTCACACCACAGATTGCCCTCAGACATGACATCTCCACTGCCTCCAGCCTTCTCCTCGCTGCAACATTCATCACCCATGCTTCACACCCATATAAGAGCGTTGGTAAAACTATACTCTCATACATTCCCTCTTTGCCTCCAAGGACAAACTTCTTTGTCTCCACAGACTCCTAAGTACACCACTCACTCTTTTTCCCTCATCAATTCTATGATTCACCTCATCTTTCATAGACCCATCCGCTGACACGTCCACTCCCAAATATCTGAATACATTCACCTCCTCCATACTCTCTCCCTCCAATCTGATATTCAATCTTTCATCACCTAATCTTTTTGTTATCCTCATAACCTTACTCTTTCCTGTATTCACCTTTAATTTTCTTCTTTTGCACACCCTACCAAATTCATCCACCAATCTCTGCAACTTCTCTTCAGAATCTCCCAAGAGCACAGTGTCATCAGCAAAGAGCAGCTGTGACAACTCCCACTTTGTGTGTGATTCTTTATCTTTTAACTCCACGCCTCTTGTCAAGACCCTCGCATTTACTTCTCTTACAACCCCATCTAAAAATATGTTAAACAACCATGGTGACATCACACATCCTTGTCTAAGGCCTACTTTTACTGGGAAATAATTTCCCTCTTTCCTACATACTCTAACTTGAGCCTCACTATCCTCGTAAAAACTCCTCACTGCTTTCAGTAACTTACCTCCTACACCATACACTTGCAACATCTGCCACATTGCCCCCCTATCCACCCTGTCATACACCTTTTCCAAATCCATAAATGCCACAAAGACCTCTTTAGCCTTATCTAAATACTGTTCACTTATATGTTTCACTGTAAACACCTGGTCCACACACCCCCTACCTTTCCTAAAGCCTCCTTGTTCATCTGCTATCCTATTCTCCGTCTTACTCTTAATTCTTTCAATAATAACTCTACCATACACTTTACCAGGTATACTCAGCAGACTTATCCCCCTATAATTTTTGCACTCTCTTTTATCCCCTTTGCCTTTATACAAAGGAACTATGCATGCTCTCTGCCAATCCCTAGGTACCTTACCCTCTTCCATACATTTATTAAATAATTGCACCAACCACTCCAAAACTATATCCCCACCTGCTTTTAACATTTCTATCTTTATCCCATCAATCCCTGCTGCCTTACCCCCTTTCATTTTACCTACTGCCTCACGAACTTCCCCCACACTCACAACTGGCTCTTCGTCACTCCTACAAGATGTTATTCCTCCTTGCCCTATACACGAAATCACAGCTTCCCTATCTTCATCAACATTTAACAATTCCTCAAAATATTCCCTCCATCTTCCCAATACCTCTAACTCTCCATTTAATAACTCTCCTCTCCTATTTTTAACTGACAAATCCATTTGTTCTCTAGGCTTTCTTAACTTGTTAATCTCACTCCAAAACTTTTTCTTATTTTCAACAAAATTTGTTGATAACATCTCACCCACTCTCTCATTTGCTCTCTTTTTACATTGCTTCACCACTCTCTTAACACCTCTCTTTTTCTCCATATACTCTTCCCTCCTTGCATCACTTCTACTTTGTAAAAACTTCTCATATGCTTTTTCTCCCTTACTACTCTCTCTACATCATCATTCCACCAATCGCTCCTCTTCCCTCCCGCACCCACTTTCCTGTAACCACAAACTTCTGCTGAACACTCAACACTACATTTTTAAACCTACCCCATACCTCTTCGACCCCATTGCCTATGCTCTCATTTGCCCATCTATCCTCCAATAGCTGTTTATATCTTACCCTAACTGCCTCCTCTTTTAGTTTATAAACCTTCACCTCTCTTCCCTGATGCTTCTATTCTCCTTGTATCCCATCTACCTTTTACTCTCAGTGTAGCTACAACTAGAAAGTGATCTGATATATCTGTGGCCCCTCTATAAACATGTACATCCTGAAGTCTACTCAACAGTCTTTTATCTACCAATACATAATCCAACAAACTACTGTCATTTTGCCCTACATCATATCTTGTATACTTATTTATCTTCTTTTTCTTAAAATATGTATTACCTATAACTAAACCCCTTTCTATACAAAGTTCAATCAAAGGGCTCCCATTATCATTTACACCTGGCACCCCAAACTTACCTACCACACCCTCTCTAAAAGTTTCTCCTACTTTAGCATTCAGGTCCCCTACCACAATTACTCTCTCACTTGGTTCAAAGGCTCCTATACATTCACTTAACATCTCCCAAAATCTCTCTCTCCTCTGCATTCCTCTCTTCTCCAGGTGCATACACGCTTATTATGACCCACTTCTCGCATCCAACCTTTACTTTAATCCACATAATTCTTGAATTTACACATTCATATTCTCTTTTCTCCTTCCATAACTGATCATTTAACATTACTGCTACCCCTTCCTTTGCTCTAACTCTCTTAGATACTCCAGATTTAACCCCATTTATTTCCCCCCACTGAAACTCTCCTACCCCCTTCAGCTTTGTTTCACTTAGGGCCAGGACATCCAACTTCTTTTCATTCATAACATCAGCAATCATCTGTTTCTTGTCATCCGCACTAAATTTATTATTATATTATTATTAAGCAAAGAACAGGAAAGTAAACAGAAAAGTAAGGAACAGCTATACATCAGTAAGAATAGCCAAACAAAACTTTGAAAATGACACAGCATACAATATAAATAAATTAATAAATACTTTTATTTCCACATGCAAGATTTATAAAATTAGATGAAATTTAATAGTTCTGGTCACATAAAGAGAAAAATAGCAGTAAATGGCCAAGTAATATGACCTAATGACTAATATCACTAACATAACAGTGAGGAGCTAATTGAAAAAAACTAAAGGTACAGTATTCCTTGAGGAGGAATACTAAATGATGCTAGAGAACAAATTGGACAGATCACCTTCACTAGAAAATATTTGCAGTGAAGGATAAACTGAACATAAAAACAAATGGACTAACACTATCTCATTTAAAACCGAAAAGTCACATATTAACCCTTAAATGGTCCAAACGTATATATATACGTTTTTTCAACATCTGAAAGTATGTAAAAAAAATGTAATCTTCTTTTTTGTTTTACATTTGAAAATGTGTAAAAAAAAAACTGTCTACTTTTTTTTTGTTAGTTTTACATTTGAAAATGTGTAAAAAAAACTTTTATCTATTTTTTTTTGTTATATTTGAAAAATTTAAAAAAAAAAGTAGATCTACTTTTGTAACACTACGAATTTGAACGACGATCTGTTTGGACCGTTTAAGGGTTAAGAGGTACATTTTTCAATATTTTTAATGTAGTGGCACGGTTGAAATGTGAAATAAACTGGATGTGGAAGCATTTTAGGCTAACCCCATATACAGTTTTAAAAGTATGATTGAGCTGAAGTGGTCAACAACCATAAATGAAATGGAAAGAATTTAAGGAGGAAACAAAACATGACGGAGTACTAAAGAGACAGCAAGAGAAAGGAGAGTGAGAAAAAACACAATGGTCACACACTTACATGGAGAGCAACTCAACACAGCCATGCATGGGAGCATAACGGTGGTAGACCTTGCGAGCCTGTGAGTAGGCATGGGTGGGAGTGGGGGTGTTTCTGGTGAAACAAGCACCCAAGATACTCTTGCACATGTAGCCCATGGTGACACATCGTGGTAAGTTGCAGTAGCACCGCACTGTTCCACCTAAAGCAAGATAAAATAAATGATTTGAATTGTACTGTGTAAATTTTGTTGGAAAAATAAAAAAATTCCAATTTTTAAGAATAATTTGTCAAAAATACAAAAAACATATCCTTGATTATAATATCTAGGCTGGAATATTGCTGGATACTAACAGCACCTTTCAGGGCAGGTGAAATTGCTGAACTAGAAAATGTATGGAGAACCTTCATGGCACACATAGCTGCTATAAAACACCTAAATTACTGGGAACACTTCATGTTCCTCAACCTGTACTCCCTAGAATGCAGGCAGGAGAGATACATTATATACACTTGGAAAATCTTAAGAGGGATTACTACCAAATTTGCACACGAAAATCACTTCCTATAAAATTAAAAGACTCGGCAGACGATGCAACATCCCCCCAATGAAAAGCCACTAGCACGATAAGAGACAACACAATAAGTGTCAGGGGCCCAAGACTGTTCAATTGCCTTCCAGCATGCATAAGGAGGGAGGGTTACCAACAGACCCCTGGCTGTCTTCAAGAAGGCGCTGGACAGGCACCTAAAGTCAGTACCTGACCAGCCGGGCTGTGGTTTGTATGTCGGGATGCATGCGGTCAACAGTAACAGCCTGGTTGATCAGGCCCTGATCCACCATGAGGCCTGATCACAGACCGGGCTGCAGGGGTGTTGATCCCCAAAACCCTCTCCAAGTATACTCAAGGTACTCCTTGACTTACAATGGGGTTATGTTCTGATGAACCCATCATAAGTTGAAAGTATCCTAAGTCGAAGATGAATATGATATGCTAGATAAACAAGTAAACAAATTACTGTTGCTGAATAAGTAAATATACAATTACTGTAATTAAATACCAGTACTGAAGAGTAAATAAATGAATACAAGTTACGGACTTGCCACCTTCATGCTGGGTAATTACAGTAGACTGTCAATCAAGAGGGTAGTTAGGTTCCTGAAAATGCAGTGTTAGATGAATCCGAGTTAAAGAAACTTCAGAACTTAGGATAAAAATATGGTTATGTTTCTGGAACCCCCAAAAAAGCCAAACTTTTTTTTTTTTTTTTTTTAGGTCTCCAAATCTTACAAAAATATTGAAATTGTTGTTCATTATTGTTACAATGCATGTTTTTTCTGCTGCTTAAGGCTAAAAATACAATAGAAATTATATTTCTTACCTTAAATTGTGGTTGCTGGCATTTGTCAATGATCATGAAGGAGGGAGTAGAGAGGCATGCTGAGGCCCATCTGGGCTGAGGTGGATGGTAATCCAGTCAGTCCAGTCAAGCGAGTCAGTAGGTCAGTCAGTTAAGTCAGTATGGTGAGTCATTCAAGTCAGCCGAGTCACTCAGTAAATCAGTTAAGTCAGTCAATCAAGTCAGTAAGCCATCCGTCAGTAAATCAGTCAAGACAGTCAAGTAGTAAGCAGTCAGTATATCAATCAAGTCATTCAGTAAATTAATCAGTAAAGTTATTCAGTAAATCAGTCAAGTTGGTCAGTCAAGTCAGTAAGCCAGTCAAGTCAATAAATCTTGTCAAGTAAGTCATTCAGTAAACCAGGTCAGTCATTCAGAAGATTTGTCAACTAAGGCATTCAGTAAACCAGGTCAGTCATTCAGAAGATTTGTCAAGTCAGGTAAGTCAAGTCATTCAGAAAATTAGTAAATCATTCATCCAGCTTGCTGCACTGAAATTTCTTTCCCTACTGAGAAGCAGAACCATTTAAACTGGATTTTATGAAGTGTAAAACGAAAATATGCCGCATTTTGACGACAGCTTAATGGAGAAACCGTTTTAATCGACGGTCTTACCTGGAGAGGGTATCGGGGGTCAACGCCCCTGCAGCTAGGTCTGAGACCAAGCCTTGTGGTGGATCAGGGTCTGATCAACCAGGCTGTTACTGCTGGCCACACACAAACTTATGTACAAACCACAGCCTGGTTATAATAATAATAATTTATTTCTTTGCTAAGGTTACAATGTTGGTCAGATACTGACTTTAGGTGCCTGTCCAGTGTCTTCTTGAAGACAGCCAGGGGTTTACTGGTAATCCCTTGATATATGCTGGGAGGCAGTTGAACAGTTTTGGGCCCCAGACACTTATTGTGTTCTCAACATGACTCAAAATCGTAATGACACAATTGCGACGGTCTGGAGTTTTGAGACTCTGACCGCGGGTTCAAATCCCGCCCGTGGTATGGTTTATTGTGTTCTCTCTCAGTGTACTCATGGCACCCCAGCTTTTCATTGGGGGAATGTTGCATCTCCTGCCTAGTCTTTTGCTTTCATAGGGAGTGATTTTCGTGTGCAAGTTTGGTACTATTCCCTCTAGGACTTTCCAAGTGGAACCTCAAATATCAAACTTAATCCGTTCCAGGAGTTAGTTCTAAATTCGAAAAGTCTGAAAAGCGAAGCAATATTTCCCATAAGAAATAATGGAAATACAATTAATCCATTTCAGAAACCCAAAAATATTCACACAAAAAAAATACATTTTATAGAGAATAATTATAGTTTTACATACACACAACAAATAGTGTTCAATTATGTATTACCTTTACTGAAGACTGGTGATGGCATCTGGAAGATAGGGAGGAGGAGAGAGGGAGTTGGGGTTAGTGTTTGGAAGGAGAATCCCTTCTCTGTCTTTTAATGCCGCTAGGACCAGCTTGAGAGTCACTGGACCCCTGTCTCACAAAATAACTGTCCACAGTCCTCTGTTTCTGGTGCCTCTAAGATTTCCCTAAAATTGGACATGGTTCTGTCACTGAACTTGTTGCAAAGATGGCTTGTTTCAGCTTGCTCAGGGTGGTACTTCTCCACACACATTTGGACATCATTCTACTTGGACATCATTCCACTTCTGTATTATTTCCTTCTTCACATCTATGGTGCTTCTCACTTTCTTTATCACAGGGGTACCACTAGCAAGTTTCTTTGGGCCCATTGTAGCTTATTTCACAGTCCCACAAGCACTAAACACAATGAAATAATCTTAAATGTTTGAATGAGAGCACAAGTTAGTGTTCACTCAAGCATCAACAAAGCCAGACTGGCTTACGGTGCCTGCGTGGGGACGCCGACAGAGCAGGCTGCGGACAGGTCCGGTACCCGGCGGTTCGAAAATAGAGGCAAGTTCGATAATAGGGACAAAGTTGCTTCGAAAAAAGGGTTCTATTTTCGAAGAGTTCGATATGTGATATTCGAAATTTGAGGTTCCACTGTATTATCGTGTATCTCTCTCACCTGTGCTCCAGGGAATACAGATCAAGGGCCTTCAACTGATCTACTATATCTTAAGTTTCATCTCCACAGTAGTGGAGATGAAACTCAAGATACAAGTCGAACCTCATAAGTCAAGGAGCACCTGTATTAAATTTCTGAGCCATATACAGTGGAACCCCAGTTTTCATCCTTAATCCATTCCAGGTCAGTTGAAATTCGAAATGGACGAAAACCGAAGTAATATTTCCCATAAGAAATAATGTAAATCCAATTAATCCGTTCCAGACACCCAAAATATTAAAAAAATACATTTTATAGAGAATAACTATAGTTTTATGTACAGAAAACAATGAGAAATAAATATAAATGAATAATTTTAATGGATAAATGAACATTTAACCCTTAAACTGTCCAAACGTATATCTACGTCCACGTGCAGGGGGCTCCGAACGTAGACCTACCATTTTTTTTTTTTACATGCTTTCAAAAGGGGAAAAACAAGGTCGGAGCGCTATGCACGTGAACGTAGATCTGTTTGGACAGTTTATGGGTTAAATCAGTTTTACCTTTATTGAAGAGACTTATTGGTGTATGGAAGATGGCTAAGAGGGGAGAGGGAGGGAAGGTTATTGTTTGAAAGGGGAATCCCCCTCCATAAAGACTTCAGGTATCAAAACCCTATCCGGGGTTACTTCCCTTCTCTCTCTTTTACTGGCACTAGGACCAGCTTGAGAGTCACTGGATCATGCAGATATGGCTTACAACAGCTTTGTTAGAGTGATATTTCTCCACTAACTCTTCCACATCCTAGCTACACGATGTTTAATGCGGCCCAGAGCCATATTTTTGCAATCGACATACCATGTTCACCGAGTTTAATAGTTTCTAACAACTACCTTTAGATGCCATCATAAACAAAAGGAGAAGTAATGAATAATTCATGCTGAGAATTATAAACAAAAGCGCTATGTATTAAGGGCAGTGACTTGGCCAACGCAGATTCATACACGTTTTCTCTGCTGCTGGACCAGAGAAAACGTAATGTTTTCCCTCTTCCTGGCTAGCACACCTCCATAGCATATAAACATTGCATGTTGATATACTATGTAACATATTTCTTATAATATTGTGAACAATGTACAGACACTACCCTACTTACAAACATTCGAGTTATGAACATTCAGACATACGAACAGACTGCCGTGTTAATTAAAGTTTCATTTGCAATACTTCTGCGAATCCGAATTTTGAGTTGCACTCCTTCTGTGTAGTACGTTTTGCCGCAACCCATGCTGGGCAGCACCGAAGTCAACAGAGCTGACGAATGAAGATTTGATGGAGCTGGAAGAGATGCAGCGTAAGGAAGAGCAAGAGGAACAAGACGAGTGTGTTCCTTCTAAAAAGTTTGAGACAAAAAAGATAGCCGAGGCATTTTCTCTATGTTTGAGCTTCAGGATCTCAATATCAAGAGATTCTCAAAGGTTTCAACTGGTGTTAACAATTCTATCTCAAGCTACCATCTTATATACGACGAGAAGAGAAAAACAGTGCAAACATCCTTAGAAAAATTCTTCAGACCATTGCCTTCTACCTCAAAAGCCTCTTCAGATGTTGAAGAAATCCAGGCTTACGAAACCCTGACTGACGAAGCATTTGATGATGAAGTGTATGAAGTTGACGACCCTCTCACCCAGTAGTCCAATCTTCCTCTCATCCATCACCTCAAGTTTATTGTACCAATTAAAAAGGTAAGAAGTTTTTTAATACAGTATTTATCATTAAAATATGCTTTAGTATTAAGAACTGTACACTGCTGATACTGTATAGTACTGTCTACGTTTTCAACGAACAATAGCGCAGAGAGAGAACATAATAATAATGATAATACTAAAAACAATAATAATTGTAACAAAAAATGGCAAAATAACAACTTATGAACAATTCAAAGATAGGAAGAGCCTTCTCAAATGTAACTTGTTCGTAAGCTGGGGGGCGTCTGTATATAGGGTGTTATATAATTTTGAAAAAAAAGTCATAGATGGATTAATGAAAATATCTATAATAAGTGACATTAAAGCACCCCAGAGCAATTATTTTTATTATTTTTAATTTATTTATTTCTACAAGTGAACCTGGGTGTGTTGTCGCGAGTCTCTCTCTCTGTGTCTCTCTCGTCTCTCTTCTCCTCTGCTCTGTGTCTGTGTCTGTCGTGTCTTCTCTGTGTTCTGTCTCATCTCTCTCTCTGTCTCTCTCTGTCTCTCTCTCTCTCTCTCTCTCTCTCTCTCTGTCTCTGTCTGTCTCTCTGTCTCTTGTTCTCTGTTCTTTGTCTCTCTCTTGTCTGTCTCTCTGTCTCTCTCTCTCTGTCTCTCTCTCTTCTCTTCTCTGTCTCTCTCTTCTCTCTGTCTCTCTCTGTCTCTGTCTCTCTCTTGTCTCTCTCTCTCTCTGTCTCTCTCTGTCTCTGTCTCTCTCTGTCTCTCTCTGTCTCTGTTCTGTCTCTGTCTCTCTCTGTTCTGTCTCTCTCTGTCTCTTCTCTCTCTGTCTCTCTCTGTCTCTCTCTCTTCTCTTCTCTGTCTCTCTCTCTGTCTCTGTCTCTGTCTCCTCTCTCTGTCTCTCTCTGTCTCGTCTCTCTCTGTCTCTGTCTCTGTCTCTCTCTGTCTCTCTCTGTCTCTCTCTCTGTCTCTGTCTCTCTCTGTCTTCTCTCTCTGCTCTGTCTCTCTCTGTCTCTGTCTCTCTCTGTCTCTGTCTCTCTCTGTCTCTGTCTCTGTCTCTGTCTCTGTCTCTGTCTCTTCTCTGTCTCTGTCTCTGTCTCTTCTCTCTGTCTCTGTTCTCTCTCTGTCTCTGTCTCTCTCTGTCTCTGTCTCTCTGTCTCTGTCTCTCTCTGTCTCTGTCTCTCTCTGTCTCTGTCTCTCTCTGTCTCTGTCTCTCTCTGTCTCTGTCTCTCTCTGTCTCTGTCTCTCTCTGTCTCTGTCTCTCTCTGTCTCTGTCTCTCTCTGTCTCTGTCTCTCTCTGTCTCTGTCTCTCTCTGTCTCTGTCTCTCTCTGTCTCTGTCTCTCTCTGTCTCTGTCTCTTGTCTCTCTTGTCTCTGTCTCTCTCTGTCTCTGTCTCTCTCTTCTCTGTCTCTCTCTGTCTCTGTCTCTCTCTGTCTCTGTCTCTCTCTCTCTGTCTGTCTCTGTCTCTCTCTGTCTCTGTCTCTCTCTCTCTCTGTCTCTCTCTGTCTCTCTCTGTCTCTCTCTGTCTGGAAACATTCCAAAGTTTTAAATGTTTTAAAGTTATGTATATTATAAATACAGTGGGCCTTCTAATTTCATCATTTATCCGTTCCAGAGAGTCTGCTGAAAGTTGAAATTCATGAAAATCGAAACCATTTTCCCCATAAGAAATAATGTAAATCCAATTGCAGTAATCCGTTCCCAACACCCAAAACTATTAACAAAAAATAATTTTTACAAAGATTAAATATAGATTTACATTTCATTGTGCCCACGAGCAAGTGGTATTGATCAATAACAACACTGCAACTAGCCAAGGACTCGAACCCATGCTGCTTTGGCCTGCCTCGTGGTAGGCGAAAACTCATGACGCCTTTACCCACAGGACCAAACAATCCTTAAGAGTAGCGCACCTAGCGGAACAATGTTGTACTCGCTACCCAAGGACATACGTTGGTGTGGGTGACTAGGTTAATTTCATTCTAGTCCCTGTTTGGTGTACTAGTCCAATGAGCAGTACAGTGGACCCTCGCATAACGATTACCTCCGAATGTGACCAATTATGTAAGTGTATTTATGTAAGTGCGTTTGTACGTGTATGTTTGGGGGTCTGAAATGGACTAATCTACTTCACAATATTTCTTATGGGAACAAATTCGGTCAGTACTGGCACCTGAACATACTTCTGGAGTGAAAAAATATTGTTAACCTGGGGTCCACTGTATTTTATATTACTGTGCCCACGAACAAGTGGTATTGATCAATAACAACACTACAACTAGCCAAGGACTCAAACCAATGCTGCTTTGGCCTGCCAGTGTTATTGATCAATACCACTTGTTCGTGGGCACAATAATATAAAATACTGCTCGTTGGACTAGTACACCAAACAGGGACTAGAACGAAATTAGCCTAGTCACCCACACCAACATATGTCCTTGGGTAGTGAGTACAACATTCAGTTCCGCTGGGTACGCTACTCTTAAGGATTGTTTGGTCCCGTGGGTAAAGGCGTCACGAGTTTTCGCCTACCACGAGGCAGGCCAAAGCAGCATGGGTTCGAGTCCTTGGCAAGTCGTAGTGTTGTTATAGATTTACGTACAGAAAAAATAATGGCAAATCAATATAAAGCACTAATAAAGTGTATAAATGAACATTTAA